AGCTGCATAACTCACGCAAGGCGCAGCAGAGAGGTGTTACCCAGAGAACCTGATGGAGCTGAGGAGACGTAAAGAGGAAAGCGAGCACTTGTTCTCAATGGATCCCACAGCCACTTTGCAAGAGACGCTGGAAAAATGTAGTGCTAAGGACTCAGCACGGCAGGGCAGCTGTAAGTAGGCTGCAAAGGTTAATTAGTCAGAGATTAAAATGTAGCTGATATATTAAAGCTGGTAAGGATTATACTTACTGTTAATTATAACTTCAATAATTCATTTTTTAATCATTGTGTAACTTTGTTTCATCATTGTGAAACCTGTGTTTTTTAAGTAAATGTATTCTTTTATCTTTCAGTCTGGTCTAATGTTAAAGCGTAGGCTCTAGTCTCATCATAACTGCCAGGCCACTGCATTCCTTTGGGCGTTGAATATTTGGTAGCCAAGAGTAAGCTGGCAGATTTCTAGGGTGTTCAGCATGCATTGAGAAATAGGATTTTCCAGAATTTGTTGGTTCACTCACCATTGAGCTGCAGAGACCCAAGGGTAGCTGAACTAAACAAATTGTTAGAGAGCAGAGACGGCTCCTTCAGCAAATGGCAGCTTAAGCCTCTTTGGCAAGTAACAAGATAGTGGATGCAGCGTCCTAAGATTTTGGTGTGTCTTTGCAATATTAAAAAGCCTTTCTGTTACAATGTCCTATTCTGAAAAGCAAATTATTTTGCGATCTTAAAAGGGCAAATGTGCTTAATTGATTTACATAATTGGACATATTCATAATTATAGCTGTTTTTTCAGACTTTTTAAAATTTATTCGGAAGTTTTCCTTCTGGAACTATTTTTCTGGTTGTTTAATAGTTTCCACTGTGCCTCAGCCCCAGAATAGATACTTCTCCATCTCGCTACACTAAGTGTATGATACCATATGATAAATATATTATGCCTGGACCTGCGTGAAACAAAGCCATTTTGATTCACAAGGGTTTCATGCAAATGTTTTTCTCTGTTTCACTTCAAGAAGGTCATCCCTTGAGTTGTCTCTGCATTTCAACTTCAAAGGAACCTAAAACCCCAATGGGAAATTCAGCCAAGGCTGCAAAGCCTTGCCTTGTTACAGGTCAAAAGCTCAGGAAAGTGCTGAATTCCCTGACCAAAGCAAAAATCAATTCACTGACACAAAACTTCAGTAACACAGAATTACCTTGTTCCTTTAAGTTCAGCAAAGCTCAAAGTCATGAAAATCACAAGGTACAGAGCTAAGATACCCACAAATGTAGTTTTGACTCTAAGGTCTTCGAGGAGGGCCCTGTTATACCCATAGCACGCACGCTAGAAACACTGAGAAAGGAAACATATTTTACTGTAAAGTACAATACCATTTGTTTTCTAACATAGTCTTATATTTAAGTAAAGTGGCACTGAACAAGCGCTACCTGCACTTAAGCACTTTCCTGCTCCATGGAATAATGACACCTGCTAAACTTTATAACCTTTTCAAAATGCAACCCAGTACACTGTTTGAAAGTGCTTTCAGTTTCTTTTATACCACACACCACAACTATCATTCCAATCGCCCTCCTCTCCCAAAATCTCTCTTTTGCACTGCTACTGTCACAAACATCTGAAATAAAAACTGAAAGCACAGCCAAGGGCCAAGACCTCCTGGCAGTCTAACTACAACCTTTGGCAAGCTTCAGCAAATGCCCTCATTATTTGCAGCTATAGGTAATACTGTGAACACAGCTAGAACGTGCTCTTATAAATCCTAGTAGCTGTTGCCCGCTCAGTCAGGGTAGGGTTAAGGTTGTCTCAATACGTGCCTCAACACTGTAATTTTTGCATTTCACTCTTTTGTGTGCCATTACATTCTAGAAAGGCACAAAATGCTACGTATTCTGAGAAGACATCTGGTGAACGTTTAAATTTCTGCTCACTTTGTTTTCTAAGAAGGACGACTTTTAAAAGTACAGCAACGCATACGGTAAAAACTAAAATTAAGTCCTTTAATCTCTCCCCCTCTCCCAAAAAAAACCCACAAAAACAAATACAAAAGCTTAGCCATCTTTCCAAAGCAATACAGGCAAAAAGGATTAGTTAAAAACCTTGGTTGAATTAAAAAAGTAAAGGTTCTTGAACAATGCTTCACCAAATGACCTGGACAGTGGTAATCCTATATGCTTTATCCATCCTATAGCTGAAAGACAGGACAATAGACTTTAAATCCCTCTTTTGATACTACAGTCCAGCAGTGCCATTTACTTGCCTTATTGCACTATTTCGTCCATAAAAGGCAGGTGAAAACGCTATTAAGAGAAATATTCACAGTTCCATGGATTATTATTTCTTTCTTTTGTAATGAATGAAATATCAGGAAAGTGATACCATCCCTCTGTCCTTTTTGTTTCTCTTTTAGACTCCAGAAGGAAACCTACATTCCACTTATTTTCAGAGGCTCACTAGATAAAACATAATTAACTAACTAAACTTCCATCCTTGCATTTCTCTAGTGAAATTAAACATCTTAGCAGCCTATCATATGCACAAGAAGCATATTTTTCCAGGTAGCTGTACTAAATCAGCAAAAGCTGTAAAAATATTAGAGAAGAAAAATAGATATGCAAAATTTATTTTTCTTTGTTTCAGCAACATACTATTTCACTCCAAATTCTATATTTTCTTTCCCAAGTTTAGATGCAATCCTGCCGACACTATGCACATTCAGTCTTGGCAGAACAAGTAAAGGGCTGCCCATGAAATGTCTCCTGCAGCATTGGTCTCTTAAATATCTCTCTTTAATAAGCTTTCATTAGCCATTTAGCTCTTTCACTTTTTATAGTTCAGGAGCCAGATCAATTTGCTATAAAGATGAGACACTCCTGTACTAATGTGTCAAAGAAAAAGTTTGAATTCTTGAACTACCCGTTCAAGTAAGAGAAGTTAAATAACATTCCAGTATTTAGTATTCCTATAAAATGAAGAGGCCATGAACACAAACTTTCTATTAATGCCTCCTTCTGTCTAGCTGATTGCATCTATCAGCTGAAATTCATGAGATGAAATTGCAGTCCTATTAATAAGTTAATGAAAAACTCTTCTGCTCTTCCTGCAATTGAACTTTGCTTTACCAGATGTGATCAACTAATTCACCCCTCATGCAATAAGTATGACATACATCAACTCCTTAGGTCTTTCTTGGATTGGAATATGAGCTAAAAGTCTACATATACCTGTATTTGAATTTAAGGTTGTCATCTTTACAAGAATTTTGTGTTCAAGCTGTTGTATGCTTACCTATAAAGCAGGACAAGAAGCACTCTGGTAACTATATTTTAGTCAGCCAGTAAATATGACTTGCACAAAGCAGGGCATAATGCAAGACTTTATAAGGAATATAGTATTACTGTTTGTAACTGTGGGTGAAGAATAAGAAGAGGTTATTCTTAGAAGCGCTCATGTCATACCAGTGTATCAAACACTGCTTTCAGAGCATGTGGGGGAATGCCACTGGTTTCAGTGGCAAACTCACAAGAAAAGCATTAGTATTGAGACCAGCGATTTGGGGAAGCAATACTGCAATTTCATTGAGCAAGTCGTGGAAATTTTATCTAGCCTGTGACACAGGATCCAGACTAGGACTGGAAACATCCTTAAAACAGTGGTATCCTCATACGGTGTTATGTTTCTTAGCATTACCTGGCAAGCCTTTTGCAGCACTGACTGAAGAATCTCTGATTTCAATATGGTATAAATACCTCCATTACAAGAGGCAAAAACCGAGAGCTTTAAAGCTTAGAAAGGACAGGTAACGATCAACTTCTTTGTCCTACATATTCGCAAACATACAGGTCAGTATGAGGCAGTACGAGACTGCATGGCATTCTAACGTCATATCAGTTTGTATCCAAAGGGTGAAGGCAGCCAATGAAGTAATCTGTATTATGATCGCCTTCTATACTTCTTCTGTCAGCAAGGTCTTCTTTGTTAAATAGTAATCTACAGAAAAAGCAACATGGGAGGAAGGAGCCCTTCACGGAGGATTTTGCCATTCAGTACACATACATGTGTGTTTCTAAATATAGTTACTATATAAAACACATCCCCTCTTACATTCATACTATGATTAAAAATAGAATAGTTTTTAGTTAAAATTAAAACACCTGTGAATTGTTGCTACTTCCTCATTAGTTTGCTTTGATTGAAAATAACAGAATTCTTCAATTATCTTTGTAACATTTTATACAGCCGTAGTTAGAGACATATGTATATACAGATACTTATGTATGTATACATATATATGCATGTTCATATATATATATGTATATGTTCACATACATGCTTGAAATTCATCTTTTCACCTGTTCAGAAGTATCTTTGCTTTCTCCTTAATATAAAGAGGCGGTTCCCTAAGCAAGAAAGTGGAGAAGGTAAGGACTGGCTATGTTTTCTGAATCTTCTAGATGTTTTAGAATACACTTTGCGGATGAAAATCTCACTTTAAATGTATGATAAAAGGAACTGAAGACATATGTCACTATCACACATGGTTAGAACCTGTAAAAAGAGCAACTGCACCTTTTTCTCTTCTTTCTTTGCTTTAATACTGTAAGACAGGTGGAGCTCATAGCACCAGTAAATAATTTGACTATAAAATGGCCAAAACACGTTTCCAGATTAGCAACCCAAACCAGCATTTCTAATTGTTCAGTAACTCTCCCCAACAATTTAAGGCAAAATCACTGCATCCATTTGAAACTCCAATGTGCAATTGCTGAGAATGATATTGGTCAGGACACCCCGCTAAGAGAGCTATATTGCTTTGGTCCCGTGGCACAGTGTTGCATACCCCTACGTAGACAAGCTGGAATATGATTAGCCATCATTTCCTTACAAAAAATGTTCTAGGATCTTTAACAACCAGAGAGGAAGACTTTGACTTTATATGTCAATCAAAAGACATCAGCGTCTTCCATATTCCATTACAATTTTAAAACCGCAGCATCGCTTACAGTTATGACAAGTGGCGCCACTGTATCCAGTTCCATCACAAGTGCACTTGAAGCTGTCCCACGTCTGGGTGCATTTGCCACCGTGTTCACAGTGATTGGGCACGCACCTGTCAGGATGAGATGCAAAGACAGAGAGAAAAGCCCAAATAAGCAACAAGATTTACATATGGCCAAACTGTGAGCTGCCCAAGCAGTATATCATGTCCTTGCCTGGTAATTAATCTTTGTTATTTTAGGCAGGTTAGAAGAATTTATATCCGAACGCCCAACTGCATCAAGGCTCTGCTGCAGCCCCTTTACAAACAACAAGAAAGGACAACAGAGGTGGTATACATTCACCCATCATAAATTAAGTTTTTAAGCTACATATGACTGATACTTAGCTGGCAAAACAAAAAGAACGTCACAGGTCACACCTCCTTCTGCTGTGCAGGTGGTGTCATGCCTCATGGACGCCAGTCCCATGAGTGACTGAAAGTTAAAAAAGAATGAAAGAATGCCAGTGAGTTCCTATTTATCCTTTTGTAGCCAGCAGTAGGATAAAGCAGAGGCAGACTGCTTGCTGGCTAGCATGGAAATTACTAATGCTGCATTATTAAAACAAGCAAGATGCTGCAGGCTTCACTATAAAAGCTGTAGTAGGTTTTTCTTTACAGGGGTTTGTGGCAAGTGTAGTTTGCCTTTACCTCACCCACTGTTGCCGGAGAGTTGCAGGAGTGCCAAGGAAAAAGTGGAACAGCAAAAACTAAAGTTACACACGAATATACGTTTATTGTTTGAAATATCATCCAAATGGGTGATTTCAAAGATTTGAGTTTGACCAGTTTCTTTTCTATCAAAGATTATTAAAAGTGGGAATTACCATATACTTTCACCTACAGAACTATTAAATTTCCTTTCTTGGAGAGAGGTTTTGAAATCTCATTTCAAAGAACCTATTTTTTCTCTTTATTAAATTGGTTATAGTCAGGCTTAGTACAGGCTCTGCATTTTTGATCAAGAACTAAATATTCCTTTCATGTTGAGTTGGCCAAATGCAATTTACACACTACATATTTTTATTATTACATTAAAAATAAAGATGAGGAGACCACCTATTAGACAAACAAATGAAAATATTCTTGGAAATGCACTACAAATTAAGTATTTGTATCCCCTCACGTTCACATTAACATCATTGAAATACATGCCTCAGCTGCGAAAAAGAAGCTTTGGCAGGATATATTTTAAGAGACTTGGACATTGTGTATTCAAAGATTGCTTTTTTATGCATGCCAGTAAAAGTGTCTCAGAATATACACAATCCAGATGTCTTACATTCTATATCAGACAACAGTATTCAACGGTGGGTAGCCGTTCAATAATTTAAAAAAAGTTCAGAAAATACTGGGATTGTTTAAAATGACGTTTAAGGAAATGCTTTGTTTCTGCTTTTGGAAGAGCACTTAAAATTTTTGTTTTCACATTATAAATTCAGCAGCACTATCTGAAGCAGTTGTCACAGTTACTGTAGTGGGCTAAATGCCCACAGATAAATTTGATTACTACAATTCAATGGCTAGGTGCTGACTTTCAGCTGTGTTCCCAACTCCACAGAAGAAAAACAAGTATGTATAATGAAACATTTCTAAACTTATGAATCATTAGCAACGTCTATGAATCCATTGCTAGTGGGTACAAAAGTAGCGAAAGCAGAGAGCAGTGACACTTGAAAAATAATCTCACTAAAGTAATTTTTATTCAAAGACATAAACATCTAGAAAAGTTCATAAATCTGAATATGGTTTCTTATTTTTTCCAGCCTTTCAAAACCACTGCTTTCAATGTGTTTCCTTCTTTATTTATATTTGAACATTTATTACTTTAGAAGTATTTTTACAGTGACCAAACTAAACGTTTTTCTATGTGAATTTGGCCAGATTTTTATATGAAGTCTCACTAGTAATGCCAGCAACTAGTTTCACATTTTAGTACTATATAACTTATTTTTATTGTAGCATAACTAGTAAAGATATTGCTGTATTGACTATGTAACTGATGTAAATGACTTAATATAGGGAAATATGAAAAACAGATATTTATCTGTATCATTTAATGGAGCATATTAAGTCATAAAGACAGAGATATGCAACAAACTCCCTAATGTTTATTTTATACTTCTAGTAAGACGACTGGAATTTCTCTGGCCTCTGGAATTTCTTAATCATCAGTTCTTCCTTGTACTAAATAAGATGTCGTTAAGGTATTGTTTACTTTTTATCTTTATATCAGGACTGTCTAAATGGAGTTTGATTCAGACTGTAAGATCATTTCCTTAAGTCCTCTTTCCACCCTCAATTTTATGTTAGCTTGTTTCATCAGATAGAATTGGAAGGTTTATTTTCTGTTAAATCCATTAACAAACTTCTGCAACAAAATCTGCCCCTCATTTGTCAAATTTTTGGACGTGCCTTCCCCATTGTAATTGGGATTACAGTTTTTGGTAACCAGAATTCAAAAACTACCAAAACCCCACAATCTTTTGAATTCAATAGGGGTATCGAGGGGAATATAATTTCTAACTGTAAACTCCATTATCTTTCAAACACTTTTCTTGCCATAGACTGATCTTATTTCAATGCTGATGAGATAAAAAGTACCTTGTGTATGTATTTTACTGTAAATCTTGCTACGATTTGATTTTTTTTTTGTATTTTGGAAATTATTTGAACATATGCCATTATGAAGTTTATCTCACTTATATGTGTCATTTAGTATGTACACATAGCATACTCAGAAACAATTCATGCTCTATTTAGACTTCATTTACAGTGAAAGAGTATGTTTCTAGACAATTCCATTCTTCAGTCTCCTTTTAAGAATAAGGCTATATTTCCTTAAGAAATAAACTTGGTAGAGTAGGAACAGATCAGCAGATGAAGTTGCTGGCCAACAGCTAAGGCCCTGCTTTTACACTCTATGCAGATCAGAGGTTTAGTTTGGACAATGCTGAACCTGGTCCTCACCATACTCATAGTTTAAAGTTATCCAAAGGACCGGTCACTGCTTTGGATCCTTGTGGCCTCATCTGGGGTTGAGTGCACTTGATGTGATCCTGAAGCAGCAGAGCTTCAGATTTAGTTCCCTAGAATGGGTCTAGTTCGCGTGAAATGCAACAAAAACCACATATAAGGAGTTGGGCAATCAGGGGATTCGCTTCAAAAGCACACCTCTGTTCTGAACCAGACTGAGGCAGGCACAAAACAGAGACCTTGAAGCAACTTCCCTGTCACTTGAGTTCTGTCCCTTCCCATTGTGAACACCTATATTTTAAGTACTGCCATACTGCTGTCTCCTACTGAAAGGCAAGTCTAGAACTTCATCCCTGCACGTGTGATAAACTTTCTTTTAATTTCCATCCAAGATTTATCCATGGACAGTTTACAGATGCTGTTTTGTTTGGGATTTTATTTAGTGATATTGATCTGTGTCTTAAACAGCGTTTGTCTTTCCTTTGGATTTACATCTGACAACTTTATTGAGAACAAACACATCCTTTCTCAGCCTATATTTTTATGAAAACAAGTCTCCAGCTGGAAAATAGATTTTTCATTTCTTGATCTTTCTCATAGCTCAGTTCCCACTTGCACTTGTGATTAAGTTAGTGTTCTAGAGGTGATCTTGCCAATGTTTTGTGGTTTCAGCGTTCATTAATATTTTTTGTATCTGTTGAAAATATTTTGCTTGATAGATAATATTTTCCTGACTAAATCAGAATGGTGGCTCAAAGTCACCCTGAGATTGGTCAATACATTAAATACCTCCACTACGTTCACACCCTTCTTCTCTTTGGTCACTTCCAACCAATGACCTCTAGGTTTATACAAAAAAACCTTGTTATTAATCTCATCTGCATTACTCTGCACTATTAAATTCTTTGGTGTCATCCAAATCTTTCTGTTTATTTTTCCAGGCTGAACTGTGTCATCAGCAAATTTCAACAGCATATTCCTAATTTTAAGCCAAGGTCAAAGCACTAAATAGGACCAACTCTGTGACTGATCTGTGAGCAAGTCTAAGCCAGTCGTTACCCCTTCAGCATAACCTGCGAGGCAACTCCGTTTGCTGGATCACTACTCACTATTTGTAATTCCTCTCTCAAACCCTCTCTTCTCCAGTTTAGCTATTAATTTCCAAAATTACAGTGTACTAAATTTTTATTGACACTTGACAGATTAGCTCTACTGCATTTCTCTTGTCTGAAAAGGAGAAGGTTTTACTAGAAGAGGTTATCAGGTTAATCCTGAACAATCTACTGTTGATAAATGTGTGCTGCATTTTACTCTATTTTCCATTTCTTTCCAAGTATTTCATTATTTTTTCCTTCACTACTTCCAAAGCCTTGTAAGACTACTAAGGTCAGATTAACAGGTGTGAAGTCGTCAGGATCTCTCTCTTTCCATTTGTTAAATTATATGGAGTTAACTGTTACTTAATAATATAAAACAATGCCTTTTTTTAAAATAAGGCTGCAATAGGCTAGTATTATGAAATGGAGATATCTTCCCAGTTATTATCCAGTTAAATTTGGTGCAGTTTCAGTGCCTGCTTACTCTGCTGTTGACATAAGTAATTGTTATTCCCTCATTTCTCTGTTATTTGCTAATTCATTAATACCTCAATAATAAGCAGTATGGATATCGTTGCCTTGCTTTCAGCTGTGGTAGGAGCCAACTCACAGGCTTTCATCTCTTTTCATCCCAAGTATTGTAACTGTATTCTCTAGAATATCTCATTTTCCAGTTCTCCAGAACACAGATCAAAAGAAATAGACCAAATTCTTATTCTTATATAAAATTCATGCCATTTCATTCTTTTCTTGCTGATGTTCAGTTTTGCCTTCCATTCTAAAAGCATATATGATATTTCTCCAAACCATCACTTGGAAAACTGGCCTCTTTTATACTTTCCCCATAGTTAATTCTGGTTTAAGACAGCAATTCTGTCTTCATCAACTATCTGTGTTTTAAATCTGCAGAGCACAACTCTGATCTTCCAGCAGGGTGAGGAAACCTGTAAGTTACATTCTTTCCCTTATTGCCTGCCTAGATATACTTTGCACAAGCAG